CTCGGTGCATTACACCAGTGCTACCAAGGTGGTTTTGGCCTGTGATGAGCGCTTCTGGGAACGGGATGGCATCCGAGGTGGGGTCTCCATCACTGACGGGCCATCGCGCTACATCCACTACCCCAGCCACAACTTCCCCAGCGGCAAAGGTGTCCTGCTCGCCTCCTACACTGTGGATGACGATTCCCTCTTCTTCACTGCCATGAAGCATGACCAGGTGGTGGATATTGTCCTGGATGACCTGGCGGCAGTGCACCAGATACCCAAGGAGGAGCTGCGGCGTCTGTGCCCATCTTCCGTGGTCAAGCACTGGTCTCTGGATCCCCTCACTATCGGCGCCTTTGCTGAGTTCACACCCTACCAATTTGTAGACTACTCACAAAAGCTCTTCCAGCCAGAAGGCCGTGTCCATTTTGCAGGGGAACATACCTCCCTGCCCCATGGCTGGATGGACACTGCCGTCAAGTCAGGCCTCCGAGCTGYCAGGAACATCCAGGCTGCTGTGGACAAGGAGGCCACTCAGGAAAAGGCGCCTCTGCACCAACCCTTTGCCAACGACCAGGATAGTTCCCCCAAGAGCAATCCCTAAGGTAGTGGGCTCCAGCAGGCTGGGAGGTGGAAAGAGGAGGAAGAGACGCAGAAGAGAGCTTACCATCTGTCTCTCCCTGAACCCAATAATGCCAGGCAAAAAAACTCAGCTAGCAAGTGGGCAAGAAACATCACTCCCTTCCCTGATTCTCTCCCCAGCCGGACCTACAGAAAAGAAGCARCAGAGTCAGGGCTTATGGAGGGGGAAGGGAAGAATCAAGGGCAGAGAATRCTAAAGTCAGGCCTTAGACTGAGGAAATAGTCTCTTGCTGCATAATCAAGACAGGAGAAAAAGAAAAGGTCCAACAATACCTAATTTCTATCACCTACAACTAGAAGTCCCTGAAGGAACAGACACAGTAACCAAACTACAGTAACGCTAAACCACATACTGACCACACATGCACTACCACAACACACAAACCCCATCCTTGCATGCCTGGAYAAGAGCTCCATATCTTAGTCCAGCGAGGAGACAGGACAGAAAAAATTCTTTTCTGCTTTTTTTTTTTTTAGTGTGTACAGGTAGGATCTTGGCCTCTATCCTCAAATCCATATCCACATTGCTAAACACAATCCCCCACCTCCACCTGCCCAGCCCACACATCTTCCTGGAGGGCTCCCCACTCTTCTAAATGCAACCTGTCTTTCCACACTCCATTCAAATGATCCCTCCCCCACACAAATCTTCCCTTCATAGCCACCCAACTCCCAGGGATCTCTCTTCTTTGAACCTCAATTCTTCCCCTCTAGAATCCCCACCATGTGGACTACAGATCTTATTTTTCTGACAGATAATCATGTCATGGTGGTGTATTATCTCCCCACCTAGACAGAGAGCCCCCAAGGGCTGAGATCTAATTTTTTATGTTTTTTGGTGCATTTTCTTTGGTAGTCACTCAACACACACTATGTCCTTCAGCCCGTCAACACTTATCAAACCTTTATCTTATGGCTGCTGCTGTGTGAAGAACCAGAAATATAAAAAATGAGCAGCATTATTAAACTGAATCCACTCCTCCCATGTCCCCATGCTTCCAAAGAGCAGCTCCCAAATCGGGCTCAAATTTTTTCTCAAATTCTTGGAGGGCAAGAACCACTCCTAGGTATTGGGGCTCAAGTAGACAAAAGGAAAAGTAGATCACGTCACAAACCCTCTCCCTGGACAAGATCCCCACCAGGAAGACCCTGGTGGAGCACAGTAAAGTACTGATATGGAGTGTCCTGTGCTGGGACTGGCAGATGGTTTGGCGGAAGGAAGAGAGAATTTCCTAGGAAGTTTTCCTACGAAACTTTTGTTAAAACTCTGTAAGGCTCCTTTCTGGTTTTCCATTCACCAGTATATTATTTGSTACCTTAGATTTAGTTCCACGGGACAGAAACCAAATTCAAACTAACTTAGGGAAAAAGGACATGTTTTGGCTCCCCTGTCTAGGAAGTTCAGGATGAAGCTGGTTTCACTCAGAGCAAATAGGTTCATGACTAAAAAGACATCAGTTAGGTCCTCTTTCCTCCCACCCCTTGGTCTTACTTTCCACACGTAGCTTCTATAGTGGCTTGAATAGTGTCCCCAAATTCATGTCCACCCAGAACTGATGAGTGAGACCTTATTTGTAAATAAAATCTTTGTTAGTGTAATCAAGTTAAAATGATATCAACTGGGATTAGCAAGGGCCCTAATCCAATGGCTGGTATCCTGATAAGAAAAGGGAATTTTGAGTCCATGGGGAAGACAGTTCAAGAATGCCAAGGATTTCCTGAAGCCACCAAAAACTACAAGAGAGGCATGGAATAGATGCTCCCTCAAAGCTCCTGAAAGGACACAGCCCTGACAACACCTTGATTTTGAACTCTTAGCCTAGAAATGTGAGCAAAATGATTTCTATTGTTTAAGCCATCCAATGTTGTGATAATATGTTATAGCACAGCCCCAGGAAATCTATTCAGTTCCCTTCTTTCTTCTGCTTTTCTTCTGGAAAAGAACATAATCAGAAGCCATTTCAGAATAAGACTAATAAATCTAATAAATTAAAGAATAACAATAGTAATAAATAAATAATAAATCAAAAATTTAAAAAAAAACCTTTTTTAAAAGAAGGCCATTCCAGGATCATGTTTTTATAGGTTGCCATACAAAGTAAAGAAAGGGCTCCTCTCTTCTAGAGTCCTCAATATGGGTTTCCATTCTGGCCATCCACCTCTTATTCAGGGGCCCACCCCTTGGCCTAGAAAGTGGGTCTTGTAGCTGGCAGCCCCAGTAGCCACCAGAAGTTGGGAAGGGGATAGCAGCAGATACACACTGCAGACTGCAACTCCTCTAGACCTCAGGGTTGGGCTAAGGAATACGCTGAGCTACTCCAGGGCTTGGGTAAGCCAGCTCACAATGTACCTGGTGAACCAGAAGCCAAACTACACCCAGAATGTGAGGGAGGAGGAGGAGGAGGAGGAGGAGGAGGAGGAGGAGGAGGAGTCTTTGTCCAAACTGTCTCCTGGGCTGTTTAGATTTGGTAGCCTCTCAGTGTCTTGACAAAGGCCATCTCTTCCTTAGGATTCTGAGTCAGCCTGGGAGGAAGTCTGACCCAACAGGTCTAATCAGAGAAAGGAGCAGAAGGCAGAACTAGAGGAGAGGGAGGGGCCTAGGCAAGAGCCCACCATGAACCATCATGAATCCCCAAGAAGAGGGTCCTAAAGAAACAAGTCAGGAAGGAACAAAGGCAAGGACTCGGCGGCAGGTCTACTATCTCTAGGCTGAAGGGGAGAACATATTGAAGGGWCTAAAGATTTTAGGAAGAATTAGTTTATTTCACTTAGCATGATAGTCTTCATATCCATCCATTTACTGGCAAATGCCATAATTTCATTCTTCCTTATAGTTGAGTAATATTGCATTGAGAATATATACCACAGTCCCCCAAAACCAAAAGCTGAATGCTATGTGGATCCTAACACCCAATAAGTGGTGGGGBGGGGTGGGAAGAATAGAAGTTCATTGGATTAGACAAAGGGGAATGAAGGGAAGGGAGGGGGAAAGGGAATAGGAAAGACAGTGGAATGAATCAGACATAACTTTCCAGTGTCCATATATGGACACACGCAGTGTAACTCCACATCACGTTCAACCACAAGAATGAGAGGTTATATGTCATGTATATCGAAATACAGTCATGTATATCGAAAAAGAACAAATTTTTTAAAAAATTAGGAGATACCTCTCTACTTTCCCTTGCTCCTGACCAAAAAAAAGTGGTGGGGGGGGAGAAAAACCAAGAAGATTCAGATTGGTGTGACTCGCTCGCAGGAATAGATGACCTTCCAGTGGACACAGGCAGAGTTTGCAGAGCAGGAGCCCCGGGGTGGGGACAGTGCTGCTGGGTGAGTCAGGGCTGGTTTGTAGACCTGGCTGCCAGGTGGGACAACAGAGTATGGCCAGGAAAGCAGCTGCTGGAGCCGCCAAGCTGCAGCCACTGGGTGGGGCAAGTGAGGCCCTAGTGCCTGCTTGGAGTCCACCAATAAGGTCAGGTGAGGMGAGCACTGCTGGCYCTTCCACAGGCCACTCCTCCAGCTCTCAAGCTGAATAAGGAAGGCGGACCCCAGCCAGCAGCAGAAGGACCTTCCTGCTGCTCTTGMGGCCAGTGCCCTCCAGCGCCCACTATTCTGGAGCTCACACTGTGCCAGCTGGCCAAGGAGCATGTTTGCAGGGTRTGAGGAGGAGRGGCCTGCTTSCTCACACCCTGACAGTGTCCTCCAAGGCACAGCASAACTTCCTCTCTATGGAGTCTGGGAGCTGGGGCTGACCGGTGCCACTGGTTTGTTAGACATGAGTGACCAACTGTGTACTGAGGGGTGGGGAAGGAGAGTGGAAGATTGCATGTGACATTTTGTGTGTTATTCAGTGTTTTAAGTCTTTCGTTGCTTCATACACCTTGTCTGTACTCCTGATAAAATCCATGAGAGATGTTATTAGCCACATCTTATAGATGAAGAGACTGAGGCTCTGAGAGCAAGGACTCAGCRGCAGGTCTACTATCTCTAGGCTGAAGGAGAGAACATATTGAAGGGACTAAAGATTTTAGGAAGAATTAGTTTATTTTACTTAGCATGATAGTCTTCATATCCATCCATTTACTGGCAAATGCCATAATTTCATTCTTCTTCATAGTTGAATAATATTGCATTGAGAATACATATCCTAGTCCCCCAAACCAAAAGCTGGATGTTCTCTCTGATATGTGGATCCTAACATACAGTAAGTAATGGGGCCGGGTGGGAAGAATAGAAGTTCTGATTACTCAGAAACAGCATCGCGGGCAGAATTAAAAATCTTCACTTTCTGCTTTTATAGGTGGCATTCTTGTGAGCTACCATACTTTAGATGACATGTCGATSAATGTGATTTTCTTATAGGCCCCACCATGGGGATGCTTCCAGAGAAAAACCAAAGCTGGGTTTCTGAATTTGTGCTRCTTGGCTTCTCCAGTGACCCCATGTCCAACAGGGTCCTTTTCTTTGTCTTCCTTCTCCTCTACCTGAGCTCAGTGCTGGGCAATGGGCTCATTGTTGCCCTGATCTGCCTGGACCCTCATCTCCACACTCCCATGTACTTCTTCCTCTGTGTCCTCTCGGTGCTGGATACGAGCTACATCACCACCACCATGCCCCAGATGTTGGTGCATCTTCTGGCTCACTCTCGGACCATCTCCTTTGCTGGCTGTTGGCTGCAGATRTATGTGTTTTRTGCTCTGGGACTGACYGAGTGCATCTTCTTTGTAGTCATGGCTTATGACCGCTATGTGGCCATTTGCTATCCTCTGYGTTATACCATCATTCTCAACTGGAGACTGTGCACACAGTTGGCAGCTGGGACATGGGCCTGTGGTTTCCTCTTCTCTCTGGTCCATACCTTCCTCACTATGAGGCTGCCATACTGTGG